GGTTCAGGGGGTTGGGTGTAGGGTTTAGGGTTCAGGGTTTAAGGTTTAGGCTTCAGGGTTAAGGGTTCAGGGTTCAGGGTTTAGGGTTTAAGGTTCAGGGTTTAAGGTTTAGGTCTCAGGGCTCTTGCAACTTCAGCAACCGGGAAATCAAACCTAAGCTTTTTACGGGTCCAAGAGCCGCGGCGGCCCGCGAAGGGGTTTAGGGTTTATGGTTCAGGGTTTTTAGGGGCGCGTGATGTACTCCTCAGCTTTGAGCGCAATTGCTGGAAAGCTGTTTCTGACCCCCCACCGCATTTGCAGAAACGGTGGGGGGGTGGGGGGGGGGCAGTCGCGTGCAGGCGGCCAGCAATGGCGGGTCAGAAAACGGGGGGGGGGGGGGGGGGGGGGGGGTCAGTCGCGTGCAGGCGACCAGTCCCATGTCAGGAACTGCTTTTCAGAAACGGGGTGGGGGGGGGTGGGGGGGGGGGGCAGTCGCGTACAGGTGGCCAGCCCATGTCAGAACTGCCTTTCGCAAACGCGTGGGGGGTCAGAAAACGGGGGGGGGGGGGAGGGTAGGGGGGAAGTCGCGTGCAGGATGTCAGAAACTGCTTTTCAGAAACGGGGTGGGGGGGGGTGGCGGGGCGGGCAGTCGCGTACAGGTGGCCAGCCCATGTCAGAAATTGCCTTTCGAAAGGCAGTTTCTGACATGGGCTGGCCACCTGCACGCGACTGCCCCCCCCCCCCCCCCCCCCCCCACCCGGTTTCTGAAAAAGCAGTTTCTGATTCGCGTGGGCTTCAGACGCGCAGTTTCTGACTCGCAGTTTCTGATTCGCGTGGGTTTCTGATGCGCATGTTTGCAGTTTCTGATTCGCGGTGGTTTCTGATGCGCAGTTTCTGATTCGTGCTGGTTTCTGATGCGCATTTTCTGATGCGCGGTGGTTTCTGATGCGCAGTTGCTGATGCGCGCAGTTTCTGATGCGGAGTTGCTGATGCGCGCCAGTTTCTGATGCGGAGTGTCAGATGCGTGGCTGGTTTCTGATGCGCAGTTTCTGATGCGCAGTTTCTGATTCGCGGTCCAGTTTCTGATTTTCCTGTTGTTCGTTTAGGGTTTGGGGTTTAGGCCTTATGAATCACCCTAAACCCTACACCCAAAGCACTTTTCTCTATGAGCCGGGCACAGCACAATACTCCTCATTGTCGCTGCCGACTACCTGTCTCACTTCAGCGTTCAGCATGCTGACGAGGCATGTCTTGCGGCTCCTCACGTCAACCAAGGAGGTGTGGCGTCTTTGGGGTCAGGAATTTGGAGTACTCCGAGGGCGGGATCCCTAAATGCCGTTTATTTTCAAGACGATGTTGAGATTGGGGGGGAGGGGGGGGGGCCTGGTGAAGCAACTTACGCACACATTATGTCATATTGCGTGCATCAAGTGGTGCGATTTCCTCCGTCACTCTGCATTAGCGGTGGCAGATCCGTAAGCACTGGCCATCTGCTGTGTGAACCGTAAGCTAGCATGCCCTCACCTGTACCAAGGTTAAAATTTAACCTACATAGGGTTGAGGGTCCTGAGCCTAGATCCTAAACCCTAACAGCACATCAGGACTAGAACCTGCGGCCGATGCATGCCCCAACAACTTGCCAGGACTCTGTGGCAGGTAGCTCCAGCAGGAAGCCTGCAAGTGCGAGGGTTCATGGCGGCTTCACAGGGCTGACAGGTTTCCAGTTTAATTAGAGTTTAGATGCGTCCGCCCTCCGCGTTCTCGGGCCCTCTGCTTTCGCACCTCCCCCCCCCCCCCCCCCCAACCCTAAACCCTGAACCTAGAGCCTCAACCTCTAATCCCCACACCTTAACCATCGACTGACTCTGAACCCAAGCCCGCAAACACATACAGGGGCAGTTCTTTAAACGATGGTGCTTTTGGGATCCGAAAAACATTTCCCGAAACCGAAAAAGGTACACCATTCCGAGGACTGTGCAGGTGCCTAGGCTCACAAATGTCACAGCTGGAAGCCCAGAAGGGAACTTCTGAACCACTTTCGAAGGGAGCTCTTCTTGGTAGCCCAGTAACCATCTTATAATAAGGGCACCCTTTTTGGGTTGGTTATTTGATAAGGGAAACCAGAACCAACAAAAAAAAAGGTAAAGGGTACCACTAGGCTACCAAGTCTTCAAATGCAACACAAAATCTCATTACATGCACAACAAAATCAGTCATGGGGGCGAGCATCATGAGAATCAGCTCTGGTGCTTTGGAGGCCAGGTGGCCACTCGCAAAACTCTTCGCCCCAGTGATTGTGCAGAGGGGACGAGGCGGGAGGCGAGCATCATGGCCATCAGCTGGATGCTTTTCCGCTCTTTTCCGGTCAGATGGCCCGCCAAGCTCCTGACGCTTGCAAGACCCTTCGCCCCAGTGATTGTGCAGATGGGACGAGGCGGGAGGCGAGCATCATGAGCATCAGCTGGGTGCTTTTCCGGTCAGATGGCCTCCTAACCCTTGAAACACCTTCAGAGCAAATGCTTGGAAACAATTTCTAGTTGAATCCATTGGAACATGTCTAAATTAAGTCCTTACCAGCACTTTCCAATTGAATCCTTTCAGCAATGAGCTTGAAAGGCCTTATTTTGAAGCTGTTCGAACTCAAGCGGGGAACCTCATGTTTTGCCTTTCTTGCAAGATTCGAACTCAGCTTGAAACTTGGAAGCTTTAAACTAGAACTCGGAACCCTATAAAAGCCCCTAAACCCTATATACCCTCCCAGTCGCATTTGGTGCGGGACACCCAGAAAGAACTTCTTCCAAGTTATCGGAGTTTCGCTGTAAGCCAGGAACAAAGAAGGGATACCCTTTCCTGGGTATAGTATGCTTGTACGGGCAACTGAATCGGTGTATTGTAAAACAGAGAAGACAACGACAGCGCTGAGAAACCTCGGTCGTCGACTTTTTGACACGGGCCTAAGAAGAGTCGGCCCTGTAAGGTCCAAATTCAGCTCAGTCTTAGTAGGACTATCGGGGAATACAAGTAGGTACCCTATACAGTCAAGGTTCCTACTTCTCGAATTCCTGAACTTGGTCGTTTTAGCAAGAGCACCTTTTTCCGGGCTTGGTTACTTTATAAGGGGGCCTTGAACCAACATCAAAAGGGAAAAAGGGTGCCACTTCTCTTCCACGTGAAGAACTAGTGAGGAAGGGGATGTCTTGCCCCTGGACCTATCGAGCGCATCGTTTTCCGGCCTCAGGAAGTGATCTTGCGGAAGAGCTCCAGCACTCGAGAGCCCCCCCAAGCGAGTAGTATGGCCTCTGTCAGACCGGCTGTGGGTTTTATGGAGCCCTAAAACCCTTAACCGCGAACCCTAAACCCAATGGAGTGTCTACGCACGAGCTATAGGCTGAGTCAATCCTTTGCCGAAGCGCACTACAAAGTGTGATACACACACCTCCCTTGTCATGCCAACTCCTACTTCTGAGGGCGGCGGTGTCTATCGGGCATACCGGCCCAGGGCCCCTCAGGATGATGGGAGGCTGCCAGGCTAGGGTTCCCTTTGAGTTTAGGTTTAGGTGGGGGGGGGGGTTAGGGGTTAGGGGTTAGGGGGTTAGGGGTTAGGGGTTAGGGGTTAGGGTTTAGGGGTTAGGGGTTAGGGCTTTGCGAGGCTCAGGGGGACTTTGGATGCATCCATCCTTGGGCATTTTATCAAGCAAGGTGCCGGCGTGTTGAGGGTTCCGGGCTCACGAGGGGTGTGCCAGAAAGCTGGAACATGCTGCCCTAACTGGTTCCAAGCGGCGCTTTAGACCTCAGACTGTAGCAGACACGGTTTGACCTGAGAAGCCAAGTCAGGGGCGTGGCAAGGCATGTATCAGATCATTCACAACCTCCTCGACTCATCGTGGGTAAGTACGGAATCGCTGCTACTTGGGGAGTTGATCTAGACGATTTGGGGCCGTTGTTGTTGATAATGGTACATTTCTACAAGCTTAGGCTACCAAAAGTTGTGCCTGCTGAATGACATTGCCGACGCAAAAAACACACAAAATACTCTCTGGGGCGAAGATGCTTCCGGCTGGAGACTTTGACCTTGACCTCCCTGTACTCCATGCGGAGCCAGCTGTAGGGCTGTGTCTGCACGACGCAGGACTGCATGGGAACAATGGCGCTTCCGTGGAGCTGCCCGCACCGAAGACACTGGACTGGAGAGGTCCCCACCAGGTCATGCTTGCAAACGAGTCCCATGCCTATACTCCCCTTAGAACCTTAATAAAAACATTTTTCTTAAATATCCTCTTGGGCTTTATAAAAACAAAAAAACATAATTCCCAAGGGGGATATAGATGCCAGTATCGCCTTCCATGGGCAGGACACAGCGCTCTTGAGAGTCGGCAATTTCGGAGACCTGCTCCTTCGTGGGGAGATCGCGCTTCTCACGCAAGGCCTCCGGACTGCGGACGGCTTCAGGCATGCCCAGCTGAGCAAAGGCCAGGGTCACCACGAGCAAGAAGTGCGGTGATGATGCTGACATCATGGCTTATGGAACCTGATGTCCGCAAGCCGCGCTGTTGAAGTGACTGGACCTTGCCGTACACAAGTGCAAGAGATCTAACCGCACGAGAAGCCTGCCCAAAGCCACCAAGATGCAACATGTCTGCCATTTCCGCTCAGATACTGATTGGCACCGAACAGTTTGCCAAAGTCAAGGCAGACAACGGAGAGCTGGCAGACAACGGAGAGGATGCTAAACTCTGCAGCTAGAGCTGAGGGTTCCCTTGCACCCCTCTGGCTTGAAAGTTCATGCGACGGGGCGATCGGGCATTTCAAACGCCTGGGTGGCCACTGTCGTGCCTGGATGTAGGAAGAGAGCCACTGAAGCCTATCTGAATGACGGGATTCATGGTTGGGGCGTGGACATCCATTCTTGTCAGGGCGAAATCGAAGCTTAAGAGCGGACTTTGCTCGGCCAATCGTGCGAGGAGAAATCAAGCACGGCTTCCGCCGCGAATAGAACACTGCTTTACATGTTAGCAGTCCGTCTAGGCTGGGTCCATGGTTGCGCGCCTACTGCCGAGGAAATACTCAGAATGACCTGCATTTCCGAAGAATCCCTGAGCCCTTGAAACCACAAGGCCTTGAAAAAACCTAAACACGCAGTCGGCTCCCCGCCCTCGGCTGTCAGCCCGCATGAACTCTTCAAACTTGTCGGGTCGGAAGGTCTGGTACCTGGAGAGTTGGGTTGGGGGTTAGGGCTTCAACACATTATGCTATGGCTTGTGTGGAGAAACACAACTTCGAAAACAATGTCTAGGGATGATAATTACTTGACACGTGCATCACGTGACACGGGCGTGCTGCCGTGTTAAAGCTGTGCATGAGCATGTGCCGGAACGAGCAGTCAAACCCTAATTAAACCCTATAAACCCTGAAGCCTAAACCCTAAACCCTAAAACCTCAATCCTAAACCCCAAACCCCTAAACCCTCAACCCTACAACCCTATAAACCCTAAACCCTAAACCCTGAACCCTGAACCCTAAACCCTAAACCCTAAACCAAAGCCCCCAAACTCAGAGCCCCCAAGCCTGCTCATCTCGGCTTCCACATCGGGCTTCAGGGACTCCCAAATGTCCAATGCCCGCGCCTTTCTCGCCTGAACACAGAAGATTATATCAACATAACACAATACAATTATTCTGCCATACTGCTATATATTCTTGCACTATTGCCATTGTTATATTACTATATTGTTATTATACTCTTCTATTTTAATCTTAGTCTTAGTATAGGATTCCAGGTTTTGAAATTTGGGGTTCGGGGTTTGTGCAACCCTCAGAGCCCTCATCGTGGCACCTACAACATGCTGCTGCTCAACTTCTCGTGCTTGCTTCAGTCACTGATTCACCACTCTGCTGAAAAAAAGCCAGCCACGGTACTTCAAGCATCATGGAAAAGGAGAAGGTCGGCGATCCGTTCAGTATCAGCCCTGAGCTCCAAACACAACCCACAAGTTTCTATCAGGCCAAAGGTCAGAATGATTCTGAAGATCTTGAACCCCCTTCCCGCCCCACCCTCCTTGAGGACCAAATGAACCCTAAAAGGGTTTGTGGTTCATATACTTACTTACTTATGGGGTGCATGACCCCAATTTACGAAATCCTCGAGCGCACGAGGCACGCAAACAGCGTTCTAGCTGCAGAAAGGTTGCTCAACCCCCTCCCCCCCCTCCCTACCTCAATGGCCCTTCCAAGCCCTCTTGTTACAAACCTCACTATTGCGATCCAGTAACGAAGGCAAACATGGAAACTGAACAAGGGCCTCCTACCCTAGGTGCTCCACCCTGCCTGGATTTCCTCTGGGCTAAGGCCGGTGAGCTGGCTGGGGTACTTGAACTGCCCCGCCTGACACGTCCGCAAAATATTTGGGTTCAAAGGACATGAAGGGTTTCAAGGCTTTTGGGGGCTTCAGGGGGCCCACAGGTTTAGGGGGTTTGAGGTTGAAGGAATGTCGGGGTTCGGGGTTTGAGGATTTAGGGCGGCGTTGGACATGACAAGCCCTGCCGCCTAGTCCCTGCATCCATATCCAAAGGCCCTCAACCCTAAACCCCAAACCCTAAACCCCAAACCCTAAACCCCTGATTTAGGGCTTAGGCTTGCCATGCCTGCGGCGTGGACGTCTTCGTGCCTCTCTTCGTGCCCGTCTCCTCTCGCGGAGGGTCGGAAGATGTCTGAAGGTTTAGGGTTTAGGGCTTAGGTTAGGGTTCAGGGATTATAGAGTTTAGGGTTCAGGACTTCGGCTTCAGCGCATAGTTCATCTCCACATACGCCAGCAGCAACATCTAAGAGTCTAGCCACCCATCCCAAGAACGCAGTGGACCGATCATCCCTGCTTCAGTAGACCAACGCTTTGGTTTCCCACAAAACGGGCCGGTCGAGAGGCATTGGAAGGTCTTGCTTTCCGGCCCGACTTGCAACGCAGCTGTAAGATCTCTAGGCCCCTAGGCCTTGCTGATCCAGGTTGTTGAGGGGTTGCATTGTCAGGGGGCTTTGAGGCTGCTAGAATCCATGGAAACCCTCGGCCCCCACCACCCCTCCCCCCCTCCCGCAACACCACCCCAAAAGCTCTGGGGAAGTGTATTGAAATAGTCTATGCGAATCCTGCATTTAGTGAAACAAATCCTCTTCACATGATTTAGAGAACCCTGTTGAGATTCGTACGAATCCAACTAAAATCATAAAGACCTAGGGGTTGGGGGGGGGGGGGGGGTCGGGGGGTGGGGGTGGTTTATTTCCACGCCCTCAGAACACGGAGCACTATCAGGTCCGAGGCCTCCTTGGCCATGATCGAGGCCCTCAGGGCCACTGAGCTACGAGGGGCGACTGGTGCACCAGCCTGGGGCTTGCGTCTTGTGACAAGGGCTTACTTGGAGGTTCATGGTACTTCTTAACCAATTAGACCTGTACTGATAACCCACTTATAAGCCCCCTAAGTGCCCTCATATGGTTATAAGTACAGTTATAAGTACAGCTATGATTGGTTAATAAGTACCATGAACCTCCAAGTAAGGTTCCTCAAAGTACCTATAATAAGGGTTAAGGTGCAGCGTCTTGGGGTCTAGAGTTCAGGGTACGTGGGTCTAAAGGTTTGGAAAGTTAAGAGCAAAGATCATACCTGCTTTGTAGCATTCGAGCTTCAGAGATTCCGGTGCCGAATGGTACTATAATGCTGCAGACACAGGATGCACAAATTACGAGGGGCTCTCGGATGTCATGCATTTAACGACTTCACCGATGCAGTTCGTTGGACATTGGAACTCCCCAGTGGTTGGTGTATTTCCTTCCGTTTTTTGCAAACAACCGTCTGGGAAGGTCCTGGTGCATGCAGTACAGCTGCTGCGCTTCAACTCTGTACATTCGGGGAGCCACGCTGCTTGATCCTGCAACGGTGATGTGGCCCTCGCGTAAGCCTATAATGGCTGCAATGTGAGAACCCTAAACCCTAAACCCTAAACCCTAAACCCTAAACCCTAAACCCTAAACCCACTCAGTGCCGAGCCCATGCCACGAAGTTCACGGATGCTCGCAGCGCCAGAAGCGCCAGAGCCCAGGCCAGGACGAGGGAAAAGGCGGAGCGCCTTTGAGCGTGAGAGCGGGTCAAGGCGGGTTTAGGGTTTAGGGTTTAGGGTTTGGGTTAGGGTTTTGATGACAGCTGAGATCGCTGAACCCCTCTGCAGTCTACATCAGTCCATGCACCAAAAAGTACAAGGTCGAGAGTTGGGATGTTTCCCCTTATCTCTACTGAACTTGTGAACCCTAGCAAAAAAATTATTTGTTTTGCTGTTTCTTAGGAATTATAGTACCCAAAAAGTAAAAATTATTTCCAAGTACCCCTAAGCCTTATTATACTAACAGTCCTGAATAGGGATTAAATATGCTACCCTACTACTTCCCTCCTGGGATAATAAAGGAGAACATCCCAAGTCGAGAGGACAGCAAGGGGGGGGGGCTGTAGGGGGCATGGGATGGGTGGGCACTTCGCGCCTTGTGGCCGCCATGGTTGCCAGGGCTTAGGCCGAGTCACTTCTCTGAGCCCAAAGACACTGCGCATGAGCTCCCCTAAACCCTAAACCCTAAACCCTAAATCCTAAACCCTAAACTACCCCAAACCCCAAACCCTAAGCCCTAACTCGAATTTGGGGGGTGGGGGGGGGTTTCGGACTTGTGCGCAAGTTTCGTTCTCAACGTGGCTTAGGACTGGAGCTGCTGTGTTCCTCCAAAGAGCACACCCCAAAGACAGGCTTGTGGGCAGAAACCCAGAGGAGAGCGTGACGTGAAAAACAAAAGGTTCCTGATACTGATGCTGTTCCCAAACATTTGTTGTTCAACCACCTTCGGTAGTCGGGTGTGGCACGAGTGGCATAGAGGCGATCGGCCATGGGGTCGGCTAAACTTTTCTCCCTCTATGCCTCAACCCTGTAGACTCTGAAGTATAAACCCCCCCCCCCCCGCCCCCCACCCAGCGCGAGGTGACTTGCACATTCTTCTTGCGTCGACGAGGGCTACGTGCAAGCAAAGAAACCCTAAGAGTTTGGGGACCTGTTTATTGGGTTTGGGGCTCAGAACGAGCATCTCGGGTCGTGTATCGCAGTAATCATTCTCAGGGGACAATGCTGGAATTTTTTTCGGCTCCTGTATGGCACCCTAACATGGCAGGGAGAGCACCCAGGGCCATGAGCTTCCGGTTTGAGGGTTTAGGGTTTAGGGTTTAGGGTTTAGGGTTTAGGGCTTGGGAGGTGGAGCTTTTGCAACACCCAGCAGGCGCTGGCATGGTCCCAGGATGTCCCAGGCACACTGCTCAACCGACTCAGAGTCGAGGACTGTCAGAGGATGGTCTGCTACAAGTTAAAGGGCCCTTTGATGTAGGGACCTTCATGATTAGAACAGGAGTTTTTTTGGGGTATTATACCCTATTTATATAGGGACCATAAGGGAATACGATTCGTAATCATTCCGACCCCCTATATTACGCTCCAGTCTGCAGAGAAGAGCCGATGGAGGCACGGGCGCTGAGGAGCATTGAAGGATCTTGGCCTGTCATGATGCTCCCCACGCAGCAGCCGGAGGTAGAAAACCGCGTCGCAGCCGTTTTGCGCGCTCGGTCTCTTTAAAAGCAGCGCCGGCGCCCGCGAACCTCGTCACTTCCTCTGGGGGAGGTAGGCCGCGAAGGCGAAGGTGACGGCAGCTGCAATCTGCGGCTTTGGGAGTGCAGAGATGCCTATCCAAGTCCTTATTCTTTACCTGCCTATGATGTGGGTTCGGTTGAACTGGCCACAAGGCCGCAATTCTGCCTTCTCGGGTTTTCAACTTGAAGCACAATCTTTTAAACCCGAAGCCCTAATTAAACCTTAAAGCCCCAATTAGACCTTATGCCCTAAACCCACTTCTACCAGCTCGTAGGTCGAGTTGAGCTTAACGGTCCAAACGAGTCCCAAGGAGCACAAGCCTTCGTGAACTAGCCTGAAGTTGGGGGTTTAGGGTTTAGGGACAACAGGCTTGAAAAGAAGTTGGCCAGACATTTGTTCGGCAAGAACTGAATCTCTTTGTCTTTACAAAGTGGCAACCCTATAATGACGACATGCGACACTACACGTATCACTAGCCATTGCCAGCGTACTTTGGCGCATGCAACGGGATCACCCAATACTGAACACTCACAACTATTCATGGGAAGCTTACTATACATGGTAAACCCTACCTGGGACCCAATTTACCTACAGCCTTAAGGGTAGCTACATGTAGCTACATAGGGATATACTTACTACGAAACCGTAGGTAAATAGGGACCCAGGGAAGCCGAATGAAGCCTAAACCCTAAACCCTACGAAGCCCCAGTGCCTCCTCCCTGGAACCGGGGGCCTGCGGGTCTTGCGTGTAGCGCGCAGTGGCGGCGCGAAGTGCTGGGGTCGCTTTGGCCTGCGAAGAGATATCAACATATGATATACTATTCATTGCATGTAACGTATTCCACATTTTTCTCACACCCTGTCGCCTCTCAGCATGATGAAAAACCGATGCTTGCACACGGAATGTTGTCTTGCGCGGCCTCTGTGAAGGCCTTGGCGTTCCTGTTCACGCGATGGGGCAGAGTGACAGCAGGTGACTGCAGGTGGCCACACCCAAAGGGCAAAAAACTGCATAATTAAAGAATATACCTTACTGCTTCATTAAGGAATATACCTTACTGCTTAATTAAGGAATATACCCGTAAATTATACAGGGATCCTTAGTATGATTTAAGGTATATTCCTTAATTAAGGGATATTGGGCTCTTTGGGCAAGGCTCCACACTGGGGGGTGACCCGATCAGGCATGCCATGCCATGAAACCCGGCAACCCTCAACTCTGAACCTATAGTGCCGATTTTTGACTCACAGGGCACAACATCATCGATGTTGTTAAGATCCATGAGTGGAGCATGAGTAGAGAGCAAACAGATTGCCAACAGCCTTTAAGCAACTCCCCTGCTGACCGCAGCCTGGCGTGGTCCGTTGCAGCTGCGGCAATGACGTAGCCTGGGCACGCAGGGAGGACGAGGGAGGACGGAGGAGAAGGGAGGAGGAGACGAGGAGCAGCAGCAGGAGGCTGCCCTGAAAGGGCGAGACTCTCACCCAGACAACCATGTGGGTAAGGTTCTTCAACGGAAAACATAGTTTGATAAGACATGTGAATGGCGTGTAGTCTATAGTTTACATGTAGCAAATCACAGACATAAGGTCATACTTTCAGCAATTTCTTATAATATCTACATAATATATGTAGATTTATGCATCATGTCAGTAATTGTTCGAAGTGAATGGGGTATGTATGTATGGACGTATGTATGCGTGTGTATTTGTATATATACATATACATCTTACTTTTGGCGTGTGCGCACGTATGTATGCACGCATGTATGCATGGATGGATGCATGTATGTATGTAGATACACACGTATTAAGAAGCACTTCATGATACGTATATATATATATACATATCAAATATCATCCAAAAAACGTGCAGTGCAAAAGGGACACATTATCAGGGCAATTGCCATCCTTAAGTTGGGGGGGGTTCAAACCTTCGGTGTCCTTCTAAAGCCCTAAACCCTACCTAAACCCTAAACCCTAAACCCTAACCCCTAAACCCTGAACCCTAAACCCTAAACCCTAAACAAAGCCCGTGCAGAGCCTCCAAAGGTGCCGGAGCCTGGAGTTTGGATCCTGAACTCCCACAACATGGGAGTTTACGATAACAAGGGACCTCCAATATAGACCCCAAATAGTAGGATCCTCTTGCAATAAGAGCCTCAATAAGGTACCCCCCATATCGTAAACCACAAGATCTCAGAATCTCTGCGACCGTAAACCCCCGAACCTCACGTCGGCGAGTTCCTGGCAGGTCCAAAGAGCCAAGGACTTCCCTGGGCAGCCCAGTAGATCCACCTCGCTGTGACAACTCCGGCTTCGAAAGGTTCGGGTTCTCTCATGAAGTTGTGAAAAGTACCGCGGAGTCGGGCGAGACCAACACAAACACCATATTGGAACGTTTGCACGCTGTTTCCGAAACGAAACCGAGTAAAGCCCCCCCCCCAGTTTTTTCGGACGTGACAAGCTTAGAGAGCGGCAGCCCATGTTTGACCTTGGCCTTATGTTCCCCATGGTTAGGGATGAGGGTCCCCCCACCCTCAGGATTTTTTTTGGTCGGGGGGAGGTCGGCAATGGAGCTCCTCGGCTTGTTTGAGGCTTCAGAAATTAACATTAGGGTTGTTCGGTACAGGGTTAGAGTTAAGGGGGTTTAGGGTTTAGGGCATCTTTTCCTGGAGGTCCATACAGGGTTCCAGCTGCAGAAAAGGGGCCAGTAGCCTTCCTCTGCACACGAATAGAGCACGCAGCTCGCAGGCCCATCTACACACAGATCCTGTTGGAAGGAACCTAGGAGAACCGAAGGAACCTAGGAGAACCGAAGGTTCAATAAGATACATTCATGCAGTCGGCCAGTCCGGCTTGACCCACAGCCTCAAACCCTAATGAAATCTGCAGACCAATGCCAAGACCCCACTCCACCACCCGCCCACTTGCCTCCCGGGCCCTCATGAGTCTTGGCCCTACCCTCCCCCAATAGTTCGTGGGGGTACCCTTTTGGGGTCCTGACTAGCAGAGAATTTTGTTTTTTCGGATATATATTTAGGGACCCGTATTTAAAATCGGAAAGCCCCAAATAGTGCTCCCATAGGCGCACCCTACAGAACGGGCTGCCAGGAGGCATCCCTAGAAGAGACCCTTAATCTTAATCCCCTATATAACCCATATATAACCCCTTTTGAACTCCTTATTTAGTCCCTATGTACCTAAATAAAACCCTGAATAACACCTAAGTAGCCCCAAACTATTCTGATTCCCCTAACCAATAATAACCCCAAAAAGATATACCTTCTATAGCCCCTATGTACCTAAATAACCCCCAAATAACCCCTAAGGTGCCGTATAAGGGCCCCTCCTTTCATTGCTTAACAATATTCCTTGAGGGCATAGCTAGCGCTGCATGGGCACTGAGCTGGTCGAGCCAGTCCTGCAGAGGTTTAGGGTTTAGGGTTAGGGTTTAGGGTGTAGGGTGTAGGGTTTAGGGAGTAGGGTTTAGGGATTAGGGTTTTGGGCTCAATGCTTGAGCTTCGGCGGTTTTCGAGTTTAGGGTTCTCGTGCCCAGGATTACTTTTTGGAGGTTCCTGGTCACCGACATATTGATATGAGTGGTGCAACCCAACGACTACATCCCCAAGCCCAAGAAGCCCAAGAAGCCCCATACCCAAACCAGCACAAAAACCGGAATGAAGCCGCCGAGCTCCACAGGGCCGACTTACATGTAAAACAGTGCTTAGACGTAGTGAGCTTTCTCACTGCAAGATACTCCCAAAGTATGACCCTCTTACACCAGGGGGTAGATCCCTAAAGACGATCCCGGCACACCCATTAAAGGGAAACTAGAACAACATGTCCCTAAAGGGTCTACCCTTAAGGGATCCCTAAAACCCTAAACCCTAAACCCTAAACCCTAAACCCTAAATCCTAAACCCTATCCCAAGGGAGCGACACTGGAAGAGCGGCCCAAGCGTGAGAGGTTGAGTCCTTCACGTCAGCCTTCTTCTGGGACCAGAGCCATGCCTTGCGCATGTAGGCGTTGCAGGTTGAGGGGGTTTACGGGGTTTAGGGGTTAGGGGGTTTAGGGTTTAGGAGTTTAGGGGTTTAGGGTTTAGGGCAGAAGATGCCGAGGCTGTCGGGAATTTCCCAATCCGCTGGCCAGGGATGGGACTTAGGGTCCAGGGCTTGGCCTGGCCCCGGCTGCGTACTATCTTGTTGCAGATGGATTTGAAGAAAACGTCAAGAAACGCTCCTAAAACAACAGTAGAGCACTACCCTAAACCCGAAACCCTGAACCTAAACCGTAAACAGGTTCCTCCACCTGCAGGCTGACCTTCATGCGTCCACTGCAAGCCATTCAGAAAATCAAGGCCATCACGTACAGCCGCTGTAAGGCAAGCAGCGCAGCGTCGTGACCTCCGGCCTCCGAATACGTCAATGCATCTGCTAAAGGGGGGGGGCTGGGGGGGGGGGGGGAGGCCCTTTATAAGGAGAAGTGCGCCGGCTTAAACAGGATCCAGCGACCAGAGGGGTTCTCCGGTCGTCGAAATCGACTTTGACTGTTTCAAAGTGGGCACATGAAAGAGGCTCCACATTATGCACTCGAAGCTGATGGTCATGTGGGGCTTTAAGCTATGACCAGAGCTCAAGCTTCGTGGCGGGTCGACCCAAAAAAACAAAATGCAGGACTTCCCGGCTCGGTAGCTCCGCACCGGCTGAAACCCTGAAGGAGGCCGAGGGTCTCGCGCTGATGCAGTTGCACAGCGCAGCAGTAGCCTGGTAGAGAGTGGATTTGCTGTGAGTGCGGGAATAGCATGCAGTGTTGTAGAGTGTGGTCATTCGTGTGCATGCCTACAGATCAGCATGGCTAAGCCATAATAAGGCTGTTTAAACGGAAGCATAAGCAAGGAACCCCCTACCCTTCCTTGCTTCCTGTTGCTGGTGTCGAGCAGTCCTCCTTCTGCGTGTTTTTAGTGATCTTTCCTTCATTCCTGGTTTTGGCTGCTGTTTTCTGCAGGTACCAGTACTCTCATACATGTAGATTGTAGCTGGTACATGTTGAGGCATGCCCCTTCGTCCGAGCCAGTCCCCAACACCGCAAAGCTCTCCAAGCAAGCCGCCTGACGGCAGTACCGAGCCGGAGCTGAAAACCCAAAGCCCGGAGCCCTTGAACCCGTACCTCAGTACCTCCTGCCATTTCTGCTTCAGCTTGGTGGCTGCAAATGTGGGGCTGCAACCTCCACTCACAGCACGCCTGCGTGGGGGGGGTTTCGGAATTTGGGTCCCACATGCCCGGGGAGTGAAGTTCAGGGCTTGGGGGCTTGGGGCCTCCACATGCTGGTGTTCTTGGGATTAAGGAAGTAGGGTGCCCTATATAATCCCTTACACAGTGACACAGGGGGAGGGGGGGGAGGATATCGGGTACCTCCTTCCGACTTACTCCCTAGGAGCTAGCAAGAAGCAGGACGCTGCTTACTCGGCGGGTGCCCCGAGATGAAGTGATGCAAAAGCAGCTCGTTTTGCTACCGTCGCAGGCGTTCGGGTCTGATTGAAAAATGAGGCCATGCCACAGGGACCCGCGTATACTCCCAGACTGAAGCTAATTCTCAAAGGTTTAGGGTTTAGGGTTTAGGGTTTAGGGTTTAGGGTTTAGGGTTTAGGGTTTAGGGTTTAGGGTTTAGGGTTTAGGGCAGTTCATGTGGGCATGAGTTTGCCAAAACAAGGCAAGACATCCCAAACACGACAAGCTTTCCTGCAGCAAGTACTCAGCAATTCCTACCAAGCACTATGAGCTACGGCTGTATCAGAAAGCTAGGCCGAGGGTCTTTGTCTTCTTTCTCTTCACCTGTTGCTATCAGTATTTAGAAAGTTGACATTCAATATTCTCACCAGATACGGTAGATTCAAGGACGGAGAACATTTCGTTCATCCAATATTACAGTACGGGCTCGAGGGCTTTGTTTGCTGGGCGACATGAACTGCACTCTGGTTTTGGTTGCTGCTCGGCCGGCGTGGGCCCTGTCGAATGGCAGATAACCGGGAAAAACGGTCGCCAACCTGTCAACAGCACAGGGTTGACCACTTCAGTTGGGGGGCGACACTTGGAGGTTCATGGGTACTTATAACCTCTATGATAAGTCCACTTATAACCTACTTAGAGGACTTAGGGGGCTTATAAGTACAGTTCTAATTGGGGTTATAAGTACCCTGAGCCCTCCAAGCACCCACATTAAAGCACCAGGGCTGATGTCCAAGTGGCTTGGGCCGCTGTACCTCCAAGCGTTGTAAGCCTTGGGGCTTTACGGAATTGGGCTTAGGGTTTAGGGTTTAGGGTTTAGGGTTTAGGGTTTAGGGTTTAGGGTTTAGGGTTTAGGGTTTAGGGTTTAGGGTTTAGGGTTTAGGGTTTAGGGTATCTGGATTCCTTCCGGGGGTGTAGAGGGGAATCGTATCGTACCCAAAGGGCTTTGCCTGGACCGGGAACTCAACCTGGTGCGACTTGTCGCATCGCAGCTGAAGTTAAGGGTTGCTTCGGGCTTGGTGCAAGTTTAGGGAAGCAGCAGCATCATTCGTTCAAGCTACTAGCTGAGTACCTTACAGCAACATGGAGGCGCCCCAGGAGCTTCGCTCATGAGGTCTCCAAGGAACTGCAGGCACCCATAAGAATTCTTGTCGTTGTCATAATAAAACTCACTCATAATTCCAATAACAACAAATAATATACACACTGCTTGCGGACAAGAGCGTAGAGATGTTGACAGTGTCAACCTCTGCAAAGCAAAACCCTACTCCTTGGAGGCCCTCAAGCCCAAATTACCGCTGCACGAACAGTCAGCTCCCCTGTTTTCGAGGAGATGCCGTGTCGAGTGCATATTCTTGTTTTGAAGCCCCTTGGCATGGGGAGCTGTATGGGAAAAGCCTGCGCTGCCTTGCCCTCAGCGTTTCTTCTCGATCTCTTTCAGGGTGGCACGAATCTGCCCGGAATTGGTCGCAATTTTTGGCTTTAGGGTGTAGGCTTCCAGAGGTGCGTGGCTTTGATTGGGATGGAGAGAAGGTGCACATTCTCGGAACAAGCTCTGGAGTTCTGCATATCCTAATTAAGAATAATAATAAGCAGAAGGCGTGAAGCAACATTGAGGTCGGGGGGGGGGGGGGAAAGTGCGGGGTTCTGGATGTGTGGGACTCAGGGGCTTAGGAAATACAGGGTTGAATGTGGCATCCTTGGTAGAAACGTCTCACCCCCGCAGCGATGCACCCTTCTGGGGGTCAACTTATCACAATCGACATGGGTCCTCGCGGAATCGCCTGAACCCTGCCTTTGAAACTTCTTATTCTTAACCCCCGGGTTATTGCTTTTGAGAACCAACCACCAACCCTCAACCCTCAACCCTCGACCCTCGACCCTCGACCCTTAAACCCTAAACCCTAAACCCTAAGCCCTAAGCCCTAAGCCCTAAACCCTAAACCCTAAGCCCTAAACCCTAAACTCTAAACCCTAAACCCTAAACCCCAAACCCGAAACCCAAAACCCGAAACCCAAAACCCAAAACCCAAAACCCTAAACCCTAAACCCTAAACCCGAACCCTAAACCCTAAACCCTAAATCCTAAACCCTAAACTCTAAACCCTAAACCTGAAGCCCTAAGCTCAAACATCGCAGGCCTCTTGGCAGATCTGTTCGCACCTCTCCGCTTCCTCCGGGGCCGAGGCCTCAACCGAGCTTAGGAGGGCCTGGGAGCCTGTCTACAGCGTTAGGGTTTAGGGTTTTGGGTTTAGGGTCTTCAGGGTTCAGGGTTTAGGGTTCAGGGTTTCGGGTTTAGGGTTTCGGGTTTAGCATACTAGCACACTACAGTACACTGTTCTAATGGTAGAGTGGTATACTGTAGTAGAATAGCATGCTAGTTACACGATTCTACTATGGTATACGACTACATAGCATACTCTTAGATTACTTTTAATTGTCTAGTAGTATGTTGGTGCTATGATAGAATGCGCTACTTTATACGATGTGAGCATAAACTCCATGATTAAGGCCTCCACCTCGGTCGCCTCTGATCCCAATCCCCCAATCCAAGGAATGGGTCCGTGGAATCCTGTTCGGGGTCTGTTTAACTTAGCTTGTGAGCTTGAGCTTGGGATTCCTGAACTTGCGGACTTTTGATCCGCCAAAGTCTTGGCAGCTGTCGCAGCAGCTACAAGCAGCTACAGGCAAGTAACAGGAGCTCGGAACAGCTGCTTGCGGCAGGGTGGCGTCATCGGTCCTGAAGGTGTTGATGTTCTTCAGGACCTGCAACAAGATGCGCGGCTTGTTGGGTCCTTCTTCGAGCGCTGTAGCCTCTCCAAAACGGACCCTCAATCCGGGAAAAAAATAGTCAAGGATGCGTTACCCGTTGGGAAGGGGGTTAAACTCGGCAGGGAGATTGCGCAGAGCCTAAACCCTATAATCCCTAAACCCGAAACCCCAAACCTAAACCCGAAACCCTAAACCGCTTGTGACGTGGGGCCTCCGCCAACTTCGGAGCGAAGGAGAAGTCGACTTTGGAGGACTCCTCCAGGTAGGGCTTAGAGTTTAGGTTTCAGGATAGTTGCGATTCTTGCCTCAAATAGGGAACACTTGAGCCTTAAAACGTACCTCCTATGAAGGGATTTTGGGGCCCAAGAATAGAAGAGTGAGTGAGGCGCATGGACCCTTAGAGTTTTGCTTGGGCTTGTACTGGGTACTGTGGGGTTTATATAATTTCTTTGCCGGGTGCATATTTGGGGTTACGATATTAGGGGTACCATATGGGGTCCTTATACTAAAAAGGGATCCTACTATTTGGGGGTCCACATTAGGGTTCTCTTGTTATCGTAGACCATTCAGGTGCCATGGGGTCCAGATTGCACAGGGCTTCTCCGAGCATGATACACTGATGCAGAGCAAACGGTAGAATCTCACCATAAACTCTTAAAGCCTAAAGCCTAGAGCCTATAAGCTATAAGCCGAAAGCCTAAAGCCGAAAGCCGAAAGCCTAAAGCCTAAAGCCTAAAGCCTAGTCGGGCGCATGTATCGAAGTTTGGGTGGGTCTCTAAGCCCCTGCGCCTTCCGACGCCTGGCGCCCCTCTCCCGCTGGCGATTGTGCTCCTCGCGCCCAAGCCATGATCCGGAAGTCGGATGTGAGGCTCAAGGACGTTCTGGGATTTTGGGAAGAGAACTCGGAGAATTATGTTTGTGTGTTGGGAGCCGGATCTCTGATTTCTGAAGCGCGCTCGACTTTCAATCTTGAAGTCTGCAAACTAGGATTTGCAAGGCCCATATCGCCCACATATAATTAGCCCCAATCGGACCCCCTGCTCAAGCCCGCAAGTCCGTCCTCCATGGATTGTCGGAGCTCGTCCTCAAAACATGAGGCCGTGCCCCCAAAAAAATCAGTCAACAATTTCTCAGAGAGCCCTCACAGGGAGGATTCAGGAACACACAACAGCAGCATTCCGGAGTCCTAAGCCCAAAAACCCGGAAGCCGTCCCTGGACTGCTGAACTGCAGGTCGACTCCTGGGCTTTCTGCAGCGGCGCCAAGCATAGCCTGCCCGACACGCTGGACTTGGGGAATTGTTCAGATTCTATGCACCCTGAACCCTGGAGCCTAACTACTAAAGACATAACTACCGAAAGATCCTTGCAAGCCCTGAACCTTCGCGGAACTTTGATCCCCTGCACCGTTCCGAAAGGCTCCGTAGCTAGGCCCAAACCCAGAACCCTCTGAAGAGCGATGCCTACATGCAATCTGAAAAGCCAGATCAATCCCAAACAAATTAAATATGTAATAGGGTCCTTATTCTGTAATGAAGCATATTCGTTAACGGGGGGGGGGTACGGGGCTCCCTGGGAAGTTTTTTTGTTACCACCCCAACCCAAGCCCAAATAACCCTTGGATAAGCCTTGTTGAGGTCTTCTTTCGGGCTGGAGGTGGCCCAAAGGATGGCAAGAGGGTTTTGCGAAACCCCCCTTGAGGCCTTATTTCGGGTTGGATCAGTGGTTAAAAGCCCTAAGCCCTAAAAACCCTAAACCTCAATCCTGAATCCCCACAAAGGCTGGTGTGGGATCTCGAGCCTCTCCACCTCGCTCTCTGCCGCTGCCCGCCAAGGCTCCAGCCTCAGCCACCACAGCAATGACGGGACGTAGGCTGAGTTTGGGGCTGTTCTCGGGTCAGGGCGGAAGGGAAGATGTAGGACCCCGAAAGAACACCCGAAGCCGCCACTCTCCCGACGGGTCTTGCCATGATTCGGCTCCCAATCAAATTTCTGGTGCATGGCATACATAAGTGGTCCCTGGGTGGGTGGAGAGTCTTGTCAAACCCTAAACCCAAAACCCAACACCCAACAACACGAACGATCACTGGTAGGGTTCCTGCAGCGCCGTCTGGAACTCCAGCATGTTCTCGATCCTCAAGGAGCTTCTAGGGTTTATGGCCGGTGGGGTGCAGGGGCCTTGGACCTAACCCTAAACCCTAAACCCTAAACCCTAAACCCCAAGTCGTTTCGGAGCTGCAAAAAGTCATGGAGCCCTACACGGACCCCGCTTTTGTGGGAGCAGGCCCTTCTTTAAAGCACCCAAGGTCTGAGCACTGCGGGAAAAAAACCGGAGGATGCTCCCTAAACCCATGTACCCCTAAACCCTAAACCCTAAACCCTAAACCCTAAACCCCAGGGAGCTTGAGCTGCAGGCGTGACTTTGTAGGTCTTCTGGCTCCGATGGAACAGCTGGCGTCGGACATCTGGCTTGACCTGGCATCGCGGTCCGTGAAGTTTAGGGTTTAGGGTTTAGGGTTTAGGGTTTAGGGTTTAGGGTTTAGGGTTTAGGGTTTAGGGTTTAGGGTTTAGGGTTTAGGGTTTAGGGTTTAGGGTTTAGGGTTTAGGGTTTAGGGAAGGAGTTGTGGCATCCTGGAGGCCTCTCTTCACCCGCCTTGCAGCTTCATGGCAATGTGGTTCAAGGTCTGCTGTATGCATTGACAGTTAAGGTAAAGAATATACATATCAGCAGAAATAGCAATAGTAATAGCAAAGAAAATATGTATATGCATGTGTATATAGATATGTATGGAGAGAGAGAGAGAGAAGAAGAAAACAAAAACAAAGAGTTGTTCAAACATTCATTGATGCAGACCAAAGCAAGACTGTCACGGGCTTCACGGTACTTCGGCCCCCAGAACCCATAGCTTACAGGCCTTGGAACTTGATCGTTGCTGGTGCATGTGTCGGGTTACTTCTCGGGCAGACAGAACAGGGTAGCGCTGCAGCAGCTGCAGCGTCCACCGGCAAGTGGAAGGTCTCGAAAACTACACAGAAACAAACGTGTTCGTGCTGGACGTAGCTACCAACGATTGCGGCCGCGTGCCGAGTGTCAAGAGGCAGGCCTGGGACCACTAACTAGGACGCGCCCGTTGTTTCAAACAGGCCCTGCAACCAAGGTAATGGAGATGCATGCTGCCATTCGTCGGCTCTGTACCCTCCACCAATTTGGCCTGTATGCGCCTTGATGAAGCCTTCGTACGACACCTTTTCCTCCGAAACGCATAAATGCTTAAAACAAACCCCTCTTCCTTTGTAGCCTCCCAAATACAGAACGGCAAGCAGAGGAAGCGCGCCACCTACGCATGCCCTTGCAGGCCTTCTTCACAAACTCCTTCACGATCTTGTCGCGCTCTGCGTTGGGAAGTGGCGCAGCACCTGCGCAACACAAGGAACTTAGCCTTGTCACCTTTTCCAGCCTAGGAACCCTCCATACACAAGGCCTTGGTGCCTTAAACGCAGGAGCCATGGCTTCGCTTTAGAGTCCCTCAAGGCAGCCAGGGTGTAGCAGTTTCGAGGAATGGACGGCTTCAGGGGTCCGGGTCTGTAGGGATTGCAATTTCATGAACAATGCCCTGACATCCCTGACCAGGCACCAGCCGTGCTCTGCACCATCGCCGCGTTCTTGGCGTCCAGGAGCAACTGGATCAGGATTGAGGGAGAGGCGTAGGGCATCGGTCGCCGGGAATGCCTCGACCCTTCCATCGTTTTGGACGATGATAAACAACATGACAAGGCATACCGGGAGGTCAGCATTGTTCCACACGACATACAATCGCACTGCTAGTCGCTGCAGCTTCTGCGACCGGACACTGTGCCGACAGAAGCAGGCCATCTCTTCCTCTCTCTCGCTCTTCACTGCTGCACTTCGAGACAGTCTTGGGATGGCACTTCTGGTCCAGACATACAGCACACATTACGGTCTTTGAGAATCATCCGGGACCCATCACTACGACCTTCCGCACAGAGTGAAGCAATAGAGCACCCTGTGAAGACCCTTTCTGTGTCCAGTAGCTATTGTGAACTTGCGGACTCGATATCCAATTTCGTTGACGGGCGGTCATATGCCGAACAGCTTACACTGGGATTCTGCACCGCTATGACTTGATTTGATTCATTGTATATGACATACGTACATGTCTATATATAAGAATCTGTAATAAAGGGCTAAATGCACCTAGCCGACCCAAGCAATGGAGCCACGTACCCTGACCCAGAAACCCTGCAACCCTCTACCCAAAGACGTGGGCCTTCTGCTTGGCAAAAGGGTCAACGCCATCCTCTCAGCAGGTGATTCGAACGCAGGTTGGGCTTGGGCGGCGTAGGACTCAACGACACCCTGCAAAGTTCTATATGCCTGCGGTTGGCCAACAGCTGCTTCTTAGTTGTAGGTGTAACACACTCACACACAGCTCTATGAGAATCAAGCTTTAGGAAGCGTATCGGGACAGATGGCGACAGGAATCCACCAAGCCAAGGGGGATCCTCAAACCAAAATCCCTAAGCCTTGCACTCTGCGACCCAACCGACCCAACATCAGGCCTATTCGAATCGGGATTCTGGGTAGCAGTTATAACTTCCCTATACCCAAACCCTAAACCCTAAACCCTAAGCCCCAAACCCTCAACCCTAAGCCCTAAACCCAACCACGGCCACATGCCCTTTTGCCGCACATGCTGTGAACTCAGTGGCCCTTCAGCCGCAGCACCGACTGAGTTGGTCAGAACCTCGGCTGACGGCCCAGTCCGAAATCATTCATCTATATATATATATATATGAATATAGACATATATTCAGATAACAATAATAATAGTAACAAACACAATCATCATCATTAGATAATGTATACATCTATACATATATATATATATCCATACATCTCTCTATACATATATGTAGACGTGCATAAATATGTGCACATATATATATATATACACACATATGTATATAGATATATGTGTGTGTAACAATGTATGCATTGTACTCGACTAGATCTCAAGATGCTCCAGCAGGTTGTAGTTACAGCAGGTTATGATGAACTTTAACCCATTATTGCTTGAACATGCGAACGTAAAGACTTCATCCCTGGCTCCCGAGCCCCCCATCTTGGGCAGCGGCGCACTTACTCCTCCTGCAGGTTGAGGGTTTAGGGTTTAGGGCTTAGGGTTTAGGGTTTAGGGTGTAGGGTGTAGGGTTTAGGAGCTTCGCTTGACAATCCCGCCATTTCGTGCCCTTTGTTCTAAGGTTTTTGCTCTCAGTCATATTCCGTGGTAGTGTAGGCTAAGAACAAGGGCCCATGATTTAGATCAACCCACCAGCTTCCCAAAGGAACATCCTCTGGGGCCTCCGGGCCACAGTGGCATAGGGTTTGCGCGAGGGCAGCCCAGGAACAGTGCGCATTTCGGCAGGTAAGTGGCGCAAAAAGATTCTTAGAGGTGCTCCCCAACTTAGACAGCCCGAGCCACGAGTTGCACCCCCAAGCAGAGATGCAGCGGAGAAGCCAGCTCCGAGAAGTGATGTTGGGCGTGGCTTCATTCATCTAAATCCCACAATGGCCCTGCAACTCCTTTGGAAAGACCACACTAATAAAACCACCATGAGAATAAACAGCGGCAGCTCTTGTGACTATTGAGAAATTATCATCTGATGCTTCGCAGCGCCTTACAGATGTTGGGTTTTACCAGCTAGAAGCTCCCATCCCAGACCTAAGTCTACTGATTTACGCTGGCAAGCCACAAGCCCCGCTTACACCCTGCTGGTAGCGTTCAGTCACAGGTCAGCTGCCGGTCCTCGACGATTTCCTCAGGATGGCATGACGCAGTGCCGCGTCGCAACAGGGGAGAATTTGTTTTCCAGCGCCTCCCGGACCCCCAGCACCATGTTGCGGAAGACATGCGGCGAATATGTTCAATCCCCCAAAGCCCGGTACAACAAAATCTTGAAGCGAGTCAACCCTAAACCCTGAACCCTGAACCCTCACAACTCTCTTCTTTAGTCGCACCAGGGTGCAGATGCCGGTTCTTCTGCGGGTGCACTGGCAGACCTCGGACGCTCCACACTACAGTTAGCCGAGTAGGAGTGCCAGTGGTCGTCGTCGCCGTCGCCGCCGCCGCCGGCGTCGTCGTCGTCGTCGTGCTCGTGGTGGTTGTGGTTGTGGTGGTTGGTGGTTGGCGATTGGGGTTGGCGGCTGGTAGTTGTTGGTTGTTGGCGTTTGGTTGGTTGTGGGTTGTGGGTTGTGGGTTGTGGGTTGTGGGTCGTGGGTGGTGGGGTCGTGGGTCGTGGGTTGTGGTTAGAGGGTGGTGGGTGGTGGGTGGTGGGTCGTGTCCGTCGTCGACGTCGCCGTCGCCGTCGTTGTGGTCGTGGTGGTCGTGGTGGTCGTGGTCGTGGCTGTTGTGGCTGATGTGGGTGGTTGATGTATTGTTTGTTGTTGATGAGCCTGTAGACTGTTCTAGCCGTTGTGTGTCGTTGTGGCTGGACCAGTGAGAGTCTAGCCGAATGAATGCAATGAAGCTGAACTTGGAGAGTGGCAACCCAACTCACGCACGACTTCGCCAACGCAAGAAGCTGCGCAGTCTATATAGCCAAGCCACTCTCCTCCCTTCTTCAGGTGGGCATACTCTGGCATATTTTGCCAGCCCAAGGGCCTTAGAGTCACAAGGAGAGCCCTATCTGCCAATATATGAAGCCATGATAGTACTCTGTGCCGCATTTTCTCCTGAATCGGAATGAAGCGGAATCCACAGATCAAGTGTAACGAGACCTTGCGTCTAGAGATGAAGGGCTAGAGGCGACATGGCTTGAAGGCATCAGCAGTGTGCGAAGGGCTAGAGGCGACATGGCTTGAAGGCATCAGCAGTGTGCGAGCCTTTTGTGTCACGCCGCCAGGCTTCGGAACGTTACAGATAGGCGGTTGCCCAGACCTTCCGGGATGGAATGCTGCCAGCCGTAGCGAGACTCGCCTTGGAAGCTGTAGGACCTTTGCTGCGCAACCGCAATTCAAGAGCTTCGCACGACCATCCACGTTGATCACCGCACCTAAACCCTAAACCCAAAAGCCTAAACGCCTAAAGCAAGCTTAGCCCCAGCTACCCAAATGCTTACCAACAGAGGTTTCCGAACTTCCGAATACTGGGGGCGCCTGTTGAAAAGTGGGGTTTTTTATGGTGAGGGTTCTCTAGTAGTTTCGCGTATATCGGGGCATCACTACTTGGGGAAATATCCCACTTCCTTCATCACAAGGTTGGAACCCCAGAATCGGAAACCTGAACACTGAAGGCCCTGAACCATGGACATCTGAAGACGAACAGAGAGAGAACTGCACGGAGAACGAGCAGTTGCTTCGACGATTTATTTGGTTAAGTTTAGGGTTCGCTGTGTCTGATGGGAGCAACTATGAGGAGCATAGTTGTGCAGCGCCTAAACCCTAAACCCGAAACCCTAAACCCTAAACCCTAAACCCTAAACCCTAAACCCTAAACCCTAAACCCTAAACCCTGCAGCCACGACACCACAGGTGGCCGATGTCGACGCACATGGACGTCTCGGAGTCGGTACGGCGAAGGCGTAAGGGGCGCGCCTCCTAGGATACAACCCGCAACCCTGAACCCCCGAGCCGACCAAAGGCTGAGAGTGCTACAGCCGGGCTCAAGCGTATAGGGTTTAGGGCTTAGGGCCAGAGCGACGCGCGTTCTGTAGTGATGGCTTTGGGCCGAGCATGCACAAGTCCAAAAAGTGTGTGTTTCAGTGTGCTTGCCGATGTCCCAGATACCTTTGGCTGACATGGAAGGGGTGGGGGTGGGGGCCCTTCAACAAAGCAAAAAAAAATGGACATACCTGTGTACACAAATGTTAATAACTGTTATACTACATAGGTTGATGGATAGTGCACAATGTGCATACTAAAATTGTGTATATCGGTACGTGAGTGCCTGTGAAACATGTATACAGATGTTGCAAGGCCATCTCCTGGATGCTGACATCTACATTGATGGAGATCCCCACTGGAATGCGGAATGTCAGCAACCAAAAGGGGAGAGCCAAATGCTTCCCTAGTCTGCTGAAGCCTTACACTCGCCCCTTTGGTGAGTTCGGGATCTGAGGGTCCCGGGCTGTCGCTTCGCTGTTGCATGCGAGCCTACATCGCGCTTGCTTGCGCCCGCCCAGGTGCCGACTTGCCCTAAACCCTAAACCCTAAACCCTAAACCCTAAAACCTACACCCTAAACCCTAAACCCTAAACCCTAAACCCTAAACCCTAAACCCTAAACCCTAAACCCTAAACCCTAGCATTGCAGGCGCTGACTAGCCGACTCGGCGCAAGAGGTCTCGTGGCAAGGGCTTGTAACACAGAACGTTTTGGGGTTTGGGGCCACCCTACACCCCAAACCCTAAATCCTAAACCCTAAACCCCATGGGCTAAGGAGAAGCCCAGGCGTCCCCGAAGACGAAGACGAGAATCTCAGGACCTCACGTGGGCACCCCGTTCCCGGCATAAGTGGCCCTAGTGGCGCCCTATACGTTACTCTAACCAGAACCTTAAAGCCCTACCTGTAGTAGAGTACCCCAAATTGACGGCCTCTGACCCCCGAAAGCGCTGCTTAGAGGTTTGGGGTTTAGGGTTGGGATGTTCCTCCTAATCCTAACAGTACTACCAACCCTTAATGAGGATTATAGTACCCCCTATTATAGTCCCGACTAAGGACTGTTAGTATCATGGGAAACATCCCTCAGGCTTTAGGGCATTTGGCTGAACAGCTACTCGGGCACAACCCTAAACCCTAAACCCTAAACCCTAAACCCTAAACCCTAAACCCTAAACCCTAAACCACCAAGCGTTCGGGCCCCGGACCGAAGACCAAGTCATCCACGTGCCAAGGGATGCCATCCTCTGCTTCGTACTCGTTTTGGGACTTTCCCCCCTTCTACCAACAGTCCTAATAGGGATTACAGTAGGGGATACAGTAATCCCTATAAAGGGGTGTTCGTATCAGGGGGAACACCCCAAAGATTGGTAGTAGAGCGTTTGTTTCAAGACGGTGGTATCTACCCAGACCTTCTAATTCCAGCTGGGGAATGTTGTGCAGCCTGGACGCAAGGCCCAAGCAAAAGCCCATGCTGTCCCAACAAGTTATGCACATGAATCAAGAACCCTAGATCCACGCCTAACCCCTACAACCCTAGGCTCACTTTCCGCAGTCGCGGAGACGCTGAACGATAACTGCAGCAGGTCCCAATAACCGCTCAGGGGTAGCTTTCATCCGTAAAGTTGGGTTTCTGGACACCGGTCTTTGAAATCTGAAGAAGTGCATGCCCGGCGTCAGCCGGTCCGTACTCATTGATGATGCACTGTGTGAAGCCGGGCCCCACCTGCAACAGTGCTAGATGCTACATGTATAATTACATGTCATTTCTTTATTTATTCCACATAAAAATCATTGTATGTATGCTGCACACGTCATTTAGTACTTACGGTGAAGGTTTCAGGGCTGCTCCCCGCAGCTTGCCTAAGCCTGGACAAGAAGACTACACCCGAAACCCCGAAAGCCACAGACTGCATGCTTCTGAATTGGGGCGTCCCCTTGTCACTATCTCGCTAATAACTGCAGCCTTCGCAAGCAAAACCTATCCCCAATGAAGGCCCCTGTTTGGGACACCCTAAACCCTAAAACCTAAACCCTAAACCCAAGGCCCTAAATCCTAAACCCTAACAGCCCCATGCTTAGAGTTCCGGCAGCAAAGGTCTGGCAGCAAAGGCCTGCGGCAAGAGCTCTCGCAGCTTGGGTGGGATGCTGGCCACCGGGGTGAGGTCCACTTCCTGCCAGTTTCGGGTTTAGGGTTTAGGGTCCAGGGTTCAGGGTTTAGGGTGGGGTTTGGGGTTTAGGGTTTAAGGTTTAGGGTTTAGGGGTTTGCGCTTTGGGGGTTTAAGGGTTCATGCTCACGCAGCTCTTTAGAGAAGGTGAGGGACCATGATAAGGGACCATGTAACGACCTTAGAAAGATTCTCATGGGAACGCCCGTATGAGTTTGGGTTTGGTGGCGGTGGATTGATTGATTGCAAAGCATGGTTCCTGCTCCTTCGTCCTTAGCTATGAGACTGTCATGCTTTGGAGCACGAAGTTGCTAATTCACCTGAACAAATCGATTGTTTCACAATAACACTCGGCTCACAACCCTCAAAAGGGCGGTTGGACACCAGCATGGAGTCATTCCGCGAGGCCTGCTTGTCGTAGTCGTAACGAACGCCCCACCTTGGAACCCGATCGCTTCATGGGGGTTTAAAGGGTTTGGGTTTGCGGGTGGATCGTGAACTCTCGGCATGTGCTGACAGGTTGCGAAGATGAGGCCTACATCCCGCCCTTTACATCCCAGCCCCCAAATTCTTGATTGCAGCTTCGCACATCCTCCGTACCCCAAAAATATCTTCGTTCCGAGGGCTAGATCTGTCTTGTTTCAACCCAGGTTCTCATGGTAACCTAGCAGAAACGAGGATGCACTGCTTTGCTTAAACTTTAACTCTGTTTGGTCCGCAGTTGACAGGAGATTGCTCTACTACCGTGTTATGTGGTGGGGTCCGGAACAATGTGAAGTCTCTTGGCCTTCCGTTCCTGAGAAACTGCAGTAGTAGTAGTAGTAGTAGTAGTAGTAGTAGTAGTAGTAGTAGTAGTAGTAGTAGTAGTAGTAGTAGTGGTTGTGGTTGTTGTTGTTGTTGAAGTAGAAGTAGAAGTAGAAGTAGAAGTAGAAGTAGAAGTAGTAGTAGTAGCAGTAGTAGTAGTAGTAGTAGTATGCGCTGGTTACGTACGCGACGGTGTGTTGGTTGCGCAGGAGTGGGAGGAAAAGCATGCGTTTTACAGTGTTTTCAGCTGATGGCAGGTGATTGGCAGAGTTCCTCTTATCTTGTTTTTTTTGACATGGAAGACACTGAGCGGAGTTCAGTGCTGGGCTGAAGCGGACATGGATGCTCTGGTAACACGGACGTTATCATCGTGCGGACATAAATGCTCTGATAACAGGGACGTTATCGTCGTGCGGACATGGATGCTCTGGCCATTCGCACGCCGTGAAGCCACGAAGTGTCGCAAATACCGATGTTTTTGCATGGAGGTTATCATCGTGCGGACATGGATGCTCTGGCCATGCGCATGCAGTGGTCACACAAACGTTATCATCGCGCGGACATGGATGTTCTGGTAACACGGACGTTATCATCGTGCGGATATGGATGCTCTGGTAACACGGACGTTACCAATTATCATCGTGTCAACATGGATGCGCTGGTAACACGGACGTTATCATCGTGCGGACATGGATGCTCTGGCCATTCGCACGCAAAGAAGCCACGAAGTGTCGCAAATACCGATGTTTCAGTTTAACAGCCCCAAACCCAAAGTGGCAAAGCGTACGGTGCAAGTACATGTAGCAAGAAGAAAAGAGGAAGGGGCACTGGAGCCTGGAATGTGCGCGAAACCTAGGTGTTAGCACTAGGAATCCAAGGAAAATGCACCGTCGCGAATGGTACCGACACCTAGTAGTAGTAGTAGTAGTAGTAGTAGTAGTAGTAGTAGTAGTAGTAGTAGTAGTAGTAGTAGTAGCAGCAGTAATAGTAGTAGTAGTAGTAGTAGTAGTAGTAGTAGTAGTAGTAGTAGTAGTAGTAGTAGTAGTAGTAGTAGTAGTAGTAGTAGTAGTAGTAGTAGTAGTAGTAGGAGTGGTAGTAGTAGTAGCAGTAGGAGTAGTAGCAATAGTAGCAGTAGCAGTAGCAGTAGCAGTAGCAGTAGTAGTAGTAGTAGTAGTAGTAGTAGTAGTAGTAGTAGTAGTAGTAGTAGTAGTAGTAGTAGTAGTAGTAGTAGTAGTTGTAGTAGTAGCAGAAGTAGTAATAGTAGTAGTAGTAGTAGTAGTAGTAGTAGTAGTAGTAGCAGTAGTAGTAGTAGTAGTAGTAGTAGTAGTAGTAGTAGTATTAGTAGCAGTAGTAGTAGTAGTAGTAGTAGTAGCAGCAGTAGCAGCAGTAGCAGCAGTAGTAGCAGTAGTAGCAGTAGTAGCAGTAGTGGTAGTAGTTGTAGTCGTAGGAGTAGTGGTAGGAGTAGTAGGAGTAGTAGTAGTAGTAGTAGGAGTAGTAGCAGTCGTAGTAGTAGTAGTAGTAGTAATAATAATAATAATAGTAGTAGTAGCAATAGTGGCAGTAGTAGTATAGGAGTAGTAGTAGGAGTAGTAGTCGTCGTCGTTGTAGTAGTAGTCGTAGTAGGCGTAGTAGGCGGCTCAGCCCTAAAACTTTAAACCCAGCACCAATCCCTTCAAGCTTTAAACATCGCTTTGGGACACGAGGCAGCCAACCCCTGAAACTAAACCTGCCACACCGTTAAAGGCGGGGTTTGGAAGGGCCCAAGACCCAATTTAGGGGCCTTAATAACTTAATAGGGTTCTGTGGGTATCATAGTATGCAAAGAAAGGGACCATGAGGGAATACTAATTATTGGCAATTATTCCGACCCCCTGTACTAGACGGCCTTGCAACAGCATCCCAGAGCGCTCGAAGCACCCCTTGCCAGCCTCCCAGTTTGCAAGCCAGCCCCCGCAGGCATGAGCTAGATGAAGGTTCCATTCTAGTATATGTAGTACTTGGCAGGGGTACCCCCAGAAGGACATGTGTGGCACACCGCGCAGCAATAAGGAACCCTACATACACTCACACATAGCAGCCATGGAAAACCGAGCCCATAGGACAGCACATGCAGCTAAGGTGCTGTGCCACTCGACGACCCTCAATCGCCCGCTCCCAGGGAATGCTGGTGTCCTGCTTGGCAAAATGGGTCCACACACCCAAGTCAGGTCATCTCACTGCTGGCAAACGCCAGCTGTAAAAAAAACCTCATCTTGACCTTGATAACAACAGCCCTGATCATAGACCTGCACTTTCAGCTACCCTGAGCAAATCACCTCCTGCAGCCATCTCTGGAGCTCTTGCCATGTAGAGGGCGCCACGGCAGCTGCCGTGGCAGCGAAGCCCGGTGGCAGGGCTAACACCCTGAGAAGGCTTATAGGGTTTAGGGCTTAGGGTTTAGGCCTGAAAAGAGATCGGGGCCAGGGCCTTAGGGTTTTGTGGTTAGCTTTTCACATAGCGGGGCATCCCAAGGACCTTGCCTGCCTGGGCTTTTGTGGAATCACAACCCCAGAAAAGATACTTGATACCCTGAACCCTAAACCCTAAACTCTAAACCCTAAACCCTAAACCCTAAACCCTCAACCCTAAACCTGAACCCTGAGCATCCAGGACGCGGGGGCAGCACTGAGTAGGTGTTCCTTGCGCCGAGGGCTGGGGCTAGGACTGTGAAGGATGACTCCCTAACTCTTGTGTGTGGTATATATATATATATGTATGCATATGTATATGTACATGTATATGTATATGTTTATGTACATGCACATGCACACGCACACGCACACGCACATGTACATGGAGATGTACATGTAGATGTAGATGTAGATGTAGATGTAGATGTAGATGTATGTGTGTGTGTGTATGTGTGTATGTGTGTATGTGTGTATGTGTGTATGTGTGTATGTGTGTATGTGTGTATGTGTGTATGTGTGTATGTGTGTATGTGTGTATGTGTGTATGTGTGTATGTGTATATATATATATATATACGCAAACATATATATATATATATACATATACATTAGCATACACACACATGTAGGTTTTTGATTTGTGCAGTAATGTGTTCTGCTATTTTACTTGAAAACTTAAGTATAATCATTTTATTGTTGCATGATTATGTTGCTATAGGCAATCGTGAAAAATTGCAACAGGCGAAGAAGTTGCCTGAGGACGTTCTGGACACTGCTGATGGAACTTGCGGGTCTCTCCCGTCACGGGTCTTAGGGATTAGGGCTTATAGGGTTTCCTAAATTCGGGTACCTTCTTGGGGTCCAGATTATAAGGGAATCCTACTAGTCTATTTTAGGGGTCTCCTATGTTTGCGTAAATATGGGGTCCCGAAATCCCGAAGCAAAAGCCCACAACACCGAAACTCATCTACATGAGGGTTGATCCAACTTGTCCTTACAGGCAGACAAGAGCACCCATCGTGTAGATCAGCATAGATCAACCACCCCAATTCACGGCCTAAGCCTCCTAGTTCGGGTGCCCAAACCCCTCATCCCCTCTTTCCCGTTTCAGTCCTTCCCGCGCTACGGTCCTGGCCGCTAAGCAAGAAGATGGGCCTGGTCGGGAGAGGGGAAATGCGCAGGTGTGGCCGTCCCGCACAGTACTATTCCAACACGTAAAACGTAGTGTTTGTGCGTATTTCAGAAATTCAGTTTGGAGTGTCTTTGCTTGGGCAGGTTGGGGGTTCAGGCAGGTGCAAAGCAACATCAGGCGCACCCCTCGCACATGGGCCTGTTCTTCCAGTCGATCGTATAGCCACCTGCAGGGCTCTCTATATGCCACAAGCTTGCCAAGCCGTATCTGACGGTTTCCGAAAATTGCGGTACCCTTTTTGGAGGTCGCTTTAAGGTATAAAAGGGGTAACCCCATTTTGGGAAGCAGCCATATGAGCCCCTCGAAATCCTACGCGCTTGCACGTGCTTCCCAGCATTCCACAGCCTTGTGGGACATCCGTGGAGTCCCTCTCCAGCAGGGAGGTCGTTGGCATGTAACGAAACGCAACACCTGCGCTGCAGAGTTGTGCATGCCGGTTTCCGAAAATTAGAGGTGCAGTGCCCGTTTTGCTGGGTCCCTTTTAAAGGAGAGATGTGGCTGTAGTTTGGGGGTATGAAGGGGGACCCGTATTTCTGGGACATATGCACATGTCCATGCTGCTGCTAGGGGAGCACTGAATATCAGATGCAGCTGTTAGGACTGAAGCTCTTTTAATGAGACGAGCCACTAGTAGAACATGTTGGACTCGTGGCCCATCAACTTCGTTGCTACAACCCCTCATTGCTGCAATCAGTCTGCGCGCCTGCGCGTCGCCTTGATGACTTGTTGGCATTGGAGCCGTGGACGAGGAACACGTCATGCCTCGATTGCTCTAAGGGCCCTTGACAGCATGTGTACCGACAAGCGCTGGAGAACATGAAGCTCAAGCGCATCCAAAGCGCAAGGAGAATTGCCCTGGTGCCGGGGAGGGGGGCTGCTGGTGTGGAGGAGATGGAATGATGAGGGGGTGGTTCGAACTCAGGGCAGGGCCTCTCTTGAGAAACCTTTCTACGACAGGAGCCTGCAAGGAAGCCCCCAAGATGGAACAACCTCCATGAAATCTGGCTAGGGTTCGGAGGGTGTGTAGTAAGTGGGGCTTCAGCTGAACATCTGCTGAAGCCTCAAGCCTCAACCCCTAACACTCCCTAAACTCCACAAACCCTACCCTCAACTCAATCCCCGGAAGCCCCAAAAAGATCCTGGACCCTGAAGCCCTTGGATCCTAAAAACCACGAGAGCCTTGGAGCCCCTAAAGTCCTCCGTGACCCTCAAAGCTCTCAGTCTTCACCGAACCTGGCTTACCCACTCAGCTCACTTCTTCCAACGCCCTATCAGCCTACAAGTTCTAAACCCCCCCGAAGCCCAAAAGTGAACCCAATACAGGGGCCTTAACAATAAGAACAAGTTTGTGTTTCTTTCTTTTTTGCGGGGGGGGGGGGGGGGGGGTCATTCTAGTATCAGTATAATTATATACGGGCCGTAAGAGAATACCATTACAGCCATTACACCCCTCAACCCTCACCCCCTCTCCGTCTGGAGGCTGGTCAGGGTGCGCTCTGTGGCTTCCGATAAGTGAGAGGTGGGCAGGCTGCTGCAAACCCTAAACCCTAACCCTAGGAGCCTAGGCGGGGGGGGGGGGGGGGTCAGATGTAAAGGCGTTTCTGCGTGTTCAGGCTATGACTTAGGCAGTTCGGCTTAGGGTTCCGGGGCTTGGAGTTAGGGTTGAGGGTTTAGGGGTTTTCACAAGGGGTTCGGATTTAGGGTTCAGGAATTAGGGTCTAAGGTACGACTAGAAAGCATGGGCATGGCCTGGCCTGGCTCCAACTCGACATCTACTGGCTCGGGGAGCGGACCTGGGAAATGGGAGGAGGGGAGGGGGGGGGGGTTGGGTTTGTAGGGATTAGTGTTAAGGGTGTAGGGCTTGCTTGCTTGTTGACTTCCTTGATAGGATGCAAACAACCCAAGTCTAGCAGGATTCCATTTAGGGATTTGGGCTTACGGATCCTCCCATGTCGATGAATCCCAAACCTATCAACCCTTGCCGCTAGCTCGACCCTATGCCGTATGCTCGTACGTGTGAGTGGCTCAGCGCGGAGTCCTTGATTGTGCGGGTGAGGACGAGCCCATCCTCGCGGGGCGCTTTGGGCGCATTAAGGGGGGGTGTAATCTTCTGATAAGAACCATCCTGCAACCTAAGAGTTTAGGGTTTAGGGCTAGGGGAGTCCGTGTCTCCCTCTGCACACACGCAAACAAGCGGAGTGAAGAAGTAGGGTCGAGCTTGCACACACCTTGCCGAAATATAACCCAAAGCCCGCGATCCATTAAACGCAACACCGCACAACTAAGTACGGGGCGGTTGGTGATCCTTTTGTTTGCCAATGTAAGGTTTCCAGCGTTACTGCTGTGACATGCATATGGGACTACAGGCACTTCTTACCGGCTTTGTCTAGAGCTGGCACGGGGAACACATCCGCAGCTATATGGAATGTACATACACATATGCTTATCTTACCGTGCTACAAAACCCTTGCACTTATACTCAGATAGATATATAGACCCGTTCGAATGACTGCTGGTTCTATGGCACAATATGAAGGCCTTGCAAAGCAGAGGCCCTCCTTGTTGGACGTCTCGTGCTCAAAGATGCATTTGCTGGCGTGCGACTTTGGCACCTCACCGTGTCTCTGTGAAGCGCTTCGCAGCTGCGGATTTTGGTCTTTGGGGGGGTGCAGAGGCTCAAGGTTTAGGGAGGGCTGTGCTCATGTTCCGGTGGCGGCTATGGCTTCCAGAAAGCCGCTGTCACTGCAAGTCCTCTGTAGCAAAGCTGCTCAGGAGAGCAAGCGAGAGACAGAGAGAGACAGAGAGAGAATAGAGAGAGAATAGAGAGAGAGGGAGAGATATGAAGGAACGAAGAATTACCACAGACTCCAACACGGAGAAACCTCAAAGGGGAGGATGGAGTCATAGACTAGATGGGCTTTCTCAGTTGGGCGGCAGGTTGGGGAGGGGGGAGGGGGGATGCCCCGAACCCAAACTTTATCTCGAACTCTGACTCACCTTGCTCCGCACTCTGAGTTGCAACTATGACCGGACCATGGAGGTGTGGCCCAAGGCGCCACCCTGAGGCAGCCATTCTCCTTGTCAGACCTGCGTGACATCATTGCCTTCGGGTTTGGGGCTTCGGGATGTTTAGGGTTTGGGGCTCAGAGGCTTGGGGGGGTAGCGACATCCGCGGCTGGGGCAAGCGACAGCAGTCGATCGCACGTGATGGGGCGAAGATGAACATCGCTCTGTGCTGGTCTTCGGGCGTGCGACTGTGCCATGCAGGCATGGGGCTCTCAAGGCTGTCAATACTAGGCCCAGTCGTGGAGAAGGGTTGTGAGGCAAAATCAGCCAGCCAAGGGTATCCTGTGCAAGTCCACAAGTTTCTAAATGTCCAGACTCGATGTGCGCTTACTTTGCCCTTGAATCGCTCCATGGCCTGTCCAGCGCCACCCATGCTGTCACAGTCGCCAAAGGCTTGATCGGCCAGTACTCGCCATCCTCCAGCAGGCTCCAACAGATCAAGAGAGAGATGACAGGACCTGTGTGTCTAGTTGAACAGAACTGCACATGCTCCTGGTGCATGGGCACTTCCATGCCATCTCCCCCTGCAGCAATGCATCAATGCAGCATGTTCCCACTGCAGTGTTCCACTCAGTCCTTCTACATTCTTGCACCCTACACCGCGAAGCCCATTCTTCTTGCGGGCTGATCCCAAAGGCCCCTTAAACAGATGTATCACGGTTGCACACAGGGCCTGAAATAAGCAAATGAAGAGGCTTGCTTACGGACCCCTAGTCCCTACACCCTCGGAATGCTGTAGTATCAAAAATGACTAAACCCTGACTTACTAAACCTTAAATAACGGCTTCGAGACCTCGAAATTACTAAGCCCTATAGGGCTTCGAAGTTCTATAGCTTCACATGGCCGAAAGACTACAGCAGAAACCCGAAACCCTAAACCCTAAACCCTAAACCTTAAATCCTAAACCCTAAACCCTAAACCCTAAAACCATAGTAAACCCTAACACCTTAAGAAGCCCTCACAGGGCCCGAGGCCTGGCTTGCAGAAAATCTGGCAGCCCCATAGGCCGAGATCGCCGCCGGCCAGCTGCGCCACGGCCTGGCTTCAGGGTTTAGGGGGCTGAGGGGTTTAGGGTTTAGGGGTTTAGGGTTTAGAGTTTAGGGGCGGAGGGTTCAGGGTTTAGGGTCTAGAGTTTAGGGGCGGAGGGTTCAGGGTTTAGGCTTTAGGGTTTCGGGCTGAGGGTTTAGGGTTTTGAAATTTTGGGGTTAGCTTGATGTGTGTGTGTGCCTTTCCGAGGACGCAGGGTTTAGAGCCTTTAGGGGATGCAGCCCTGAACCACAAAGCCCCTACATCCTAAACCCCTAACCCCTAAACCCCTATCCGCTGAACCCCTATAACCCCCTAAACTCTAAAACCCTGGACCCTAAAGCGTATGAGGTTCTCAACGGGTGGGCCCTTAAGGGTTTTTGAGCGGGCTATTCAAGGGTACGCAGGTATACAGGGCCCTATATGACGGTATATCTAGGAGTGATTGGAAAAATCGAAAAGGATCCGTGTCCGTATCAACACTGCCGCCCCCCCCCCCCCCCCCATGGTATCCCCCCCCCCTTAATTAAGCTTGCCTAAACCCTAATGCTAAACCCCCAAACCCCTAAACCCTTAAACCCCTACACCCTTTAAACCCCTAACCCCTAAACCCTAAACCCCACCCTAAGGGCCGGGGGGGTACCATACCCTTGGGGGAGAAGGGGGGAGAGGCGCACTCTGTACCGAGTTTCTGTCTTGATGTGAAACAGGCGTGCGGAGGGAAAACGCCAAGCAAGCGCTCTCTCTCTTTCTCTCTTTTCTTCTTCTTATTATTCTTCTTCTTCTTATTCTTCTTCTTCTTCTTATTCTTCTTCTTCTTCTCTCTCGCTCTGTCTCTTTGTCTCTGTCTGACTGACGGAGCCTTCAAATCTTGCCTCGAGAGGGATGGGGGTGGATTCCTGACCTAAACTGCCTCGAGGTTCTATTGGCTTAGTTTTTTCAAAATTATGTTATGAATGTAAACGCCAAAAACCACATAAATGTGGACGACACCTTTAGGGTCTGTTTCGCGGGCCTTGAATTCAACATAAATTAGCTAGTAAAACTTCGTTATGTTCAATGAATATCTAAGGCCGCTCTATTCAGAACTTTATTCGCTGAGTTGTTTTTTCCTAACTACAACAAACTGATCACCTCCAAACACCTAAAACAAAATTCCAAAGCAAACGTAGATCCTCTATCTCTGCTCTGCAAGAGAACCCGACAACCTAAACGAAACCTCAAGCAAATCTATATCTCTTAACATCCTCGGCATCAACAATCTAAAACGAAAGTAATCCTAACTTCTGCTCTGCAAACAGGCAAATTGAAAGTGCAAGCTGCAGCCACGTTAAAACTATCTCTAAATCCAAAGCAAGAGTGAATCCGAAAAAACCATGCTCTACGAGAGAATCTTACAGCCCAAGCTGAATCTAAAGCTGACCTATATCTTCCAACATATGAATTACACATCCAAACCACAATAGGGCCTACAGTAACAGCTGCTCTGAAACCTTAATCCCTAGCACGAAACATGCCTGGTTGTTTAGCCCACCAGAACACGGCACAGGCATGAACATGTTCAGTGCAAGTGCGTCACGTGCACCATTTTCGGGGTCTCGGACCTCCACCACCAGTTGAAAAACTCAATCAACTTAAACAATTTAAGTACTATGGTGACTCCAATGCAATTTACATAACGTAGTTAATTCATATGGTTAAGTGAACCCTTAGGAATTGCTTCAAGAGGCCCGGCTAGGCTATTTAAGTTACTTTAAGTATTCAACTTACATATACATATATGTATTTATATTATATAAAGCAACCAAGGAGGCAACATGGTACGTAAAGGTCCAAAGCTCTCTCTGTCTCTCATATACATGCCTGCATACATGCATATATATATATATATATATGTGCATATATATATATACATACTGTATATACATGGCGTGTGTATTTCTATATGTATATATATATATGTATATGTATACATATATATATATAGATAGATAAACATGGTGGTAGGACAATCGTCTCTTCTTGGGATCGCAGCTGGCTACTAGCCCTTGGTAGAGCTCCCTGCCTGGCCCAGCCTAAGCCCCGAAAGCCTCCAAGGCCATCCCTAAACCCTAAACCCTAAACCCTAAACCCTAAACCCTAAACCCTAAACCCTAAACCCTGAACCCTAAACCCTAAACCCTGAACCCTAAACCCTAAACCCTAAACCCTAAACCCTAAACCGAGCCTCGAGCAGCGTGGGATGCCTCGCCAGCGCCAGGAACTCTGTCGAGCCTTGAACGCCTCGAAGAGCAGGATGGCTTCGGTTTGGGGCTCTTTGGGGTTTAGGCTTAGGGGTTCTTTTGTTAGGGCTTCGTAGTTCTTTAGAGTTTAGGGTTTAGGGGTTCTTTAGAGTTTAGGGCTGGGGTTCTTTAGGGTCTGATGGTTTTGAAGGGGTGGGGTGGGCTTAGGATGGCTTAGGCATCGGGACCCTCCACATTATTAACGGGTCCACTTGTAGATCACTCTTACAATCGGATCCTCATACAAGGACCCTAAGGCCTTAAATCCCAAACCAGTCCCGGAAGCCAGAAAAGGGACCCTGACGAAACCCTCAACCCTGAACCCGACAGGAACCCCAATGCGACCCGAACACGACAGTGACCCTAAGAATAACCCTGAAGACAAAGCTGACTCTCAGAATCACCCGCCCCCAATATGGTAGCCACAGGCTAGGGCTGGGAGATCGAAGGTTTGATTTTGGAGCGCCTGCCTAGACTCCCTAACTTCCTTAATGGGTGCTGACCGCGGAGGAGAGGGTCGTTGCGGGGGGGCCGCGCCCCGAAGGTTGCCGAAACCCTGAGGTTCTAGGGTTTGGGGTTTAGGGTTTAGGGTTTAGGGGAAGCCCAACCTCCACCCAAGGTCCCACAGTCCCACAGGCCCAAGCGTGAGCTCGAGGTTTTAGGCCACCCTTCTTGGTTAACCATAGCAAGGGATCCCTACCCCAAACGCTGCACCCGAAACCCCCTTATATAGACCCCACCCCCCACCTCCACCACCCCCCCCCAAACCCCTGCGAGCCCATGGGAAGCAGAGCCTTCTGCACCGCGCTCCTCGGTGTGGGCCGAAACCTTTGAGGAGAAGTTGGACGAAGTGGTCTAGTTGGAGGTTGCGTTGAACTAGGCTCCTGTCTGGGAGGCCGTTGCCTAGGGGGTTCTACTGGTGAAGAACCCCCCCCCAAAACAAGAAACACATGTTTTCCCTTATAAGGGCACTACTGGGATCATTATCTTCCTCTGTGGGGGGGGGCTCTTAAGCAAACAGTAGATTACCAAAGACACAAGTTGACCTAAGAGGGTCGCTGGTCGTGGGGCTGGGGTGAGTGCGGGTGGGCCTCGAACCCCAAGCCGTGGAGAGGTTGCGCAATTTGGGGAAAGCTGCAAAGGTATGCCGAGAAAGGGTAAACCCTAAACCCTAAACCCTAAACCCTAAACCCTAAACCCTAAACCCTAAACCCTAAACCCTAAACCCTAAACCCTAAACCCTAAACCCTGGCTGAGATCGGAGAGTCCCTCCTCAGCCCCACACGAGGCGCTCAGGCCGGATGTCTGGGTTCTGAGCCATCACCTCCTTCTGCAGTCGGCCAAGACCAGAGTTCAGGAGTTAGTGTATATTGTTATCAATATGTTCCTAATACTATGTCATTCTTGCTGTCATTACATCATTGTACTACATTATTATGAAACCGCGATATTAACTATTGTATTGGTATAGTTTAGACTAATTAACTTTACAACTGTTTGTATTTTAGTATATTATGCTAGACCTCACTGCCGGAGGGTCAGGGTTTAGAGCGCAGCAGGCGTTGAAAGGCATTCGTGGGCATTTGTCATACAAGTATGTGCATGAAGCACCCCTGTACCTAGAGAGCCAAATATTCTCTTGAATAAGGAACGGAAGCCCTTTACAGTTTAGGCTATGCTCTCTACTTGTTTAAGGGGTAGGGTTTAGGGTTTAGGGCTTGGGGCTTAGGGTTTAGGGTTTAGGGTTTAGGGTTTAGGATTTACGGTTTGGGCTCTTCAGGCACAGTCCTCCAGACACTGCCGAAGGCGTTCGATGTAGTCGGCATCCAGCCTGGCCTGGGGCAAGCTTCCCTGAGGAACTTCTAGGGCCAAAAGGGATTTAGGGTTTAGGGTTTAGGGTTTAGGGTTTAGGGTTTAGGGTTTACCCGAATTACAGAATGTAGACCTTAACCTATCTATCGGGATATTTCGAGGGATCCTGATCTATCTATACTACTGTACATGTTGGGGTTTAGGGCCTTTAGGGCTTAGGGTCGAAGTGTGTAGCTGCCGAGCTCTTCTCACCTTGGCTCGTCCTTAACGAAGGGGAACAAGCGAGGACTTTGTTTGAGCTTGGACTGCCAAGCTCAAATCCCAATCCCCGAACGGCCCAAAAGTTCTAAAGTTGCTAAAGGCATGACGTTTTTGCAACACTCGGCTGCGCCTGCGGCACGACCCAACCTTCGTTTTGGTAGTGACGTACCTGGACACGGCATCCACATAGGCTTAAGACCGTGAGGGCTAACCGGAAAAATTTGGTAGCTGGATTAGGCATTTAAGGGTCTCTATAGGGGTGAAGCATGCGAGCACGCCAAATACCCGGACCTCCTGCAACGTTGGAGGACCTTTAAAAAGGGACTCAACATCAGAGAACACCCCCGATGTCCTTCAACACCTTCTACCCGTAACCCGAAGCCCTAGAGAGCCAAAACCCATGTCGACCATCCTTGGGGCTGCAACCCTAAACCCTAAACCCCTAAACCCTCCGTAAACCCTACACCCCTAAACCCCTAAAGCTTAAACCCTAAACCTCTAAACCCCTAGATCCCTAAACCCCTCAACCCCTAGTCCCCTGAACCAAGCCTGAACCCCAAACCTCACAAACCCCTAGACCCCTAAACTCCCACACCTTAAACCCTAAACCTCTATAAACCCCTACGCCCCTAAACCCCTCAACCAAGCCTGAACACCAAGGCCTTAAACTTTAAACCCCTAAATTCCCCTAAACCCTACACCCTACACCCTAAACCCTAATTAAACCCATAAACCCTTAGAGCCTGAACCCCAAGGCCAAATCCCCTTCAAACCGCAAGGTCCAACAAGCCTCTGCTTCGGTGAGAGCTAAAGGTGGCTCCTCTTCAGGTTTGGCGGGTAGTTAGGGTTTGGGGTTTGGGGTTTGGGGTTTAGGGTTTAGGGTTTAGGGTTTGGGGTTTGGGGTTTGGGGTTTGGGGTTTGGGGTTTGGGGTTTAGGGTATAGGGTTTAGGGCGCGTACCAGTGTATGCGCACGCTTGCGCCTTCCTTAGATTTCGGGGCTCACATCCCATCGCACTCTCGCACGGCTCAGCAGCCCACCCCCCACCCGAACTATTCTCCTTCCAAGGTTCAGGGTTTGATGTCCCAAACCCTGCTTGTCCCTAAACCCTAAACTCTAAACCCTAAACCCTAAACCCACCAGGGCTGAGTGTCCCCACCCCCGACCCCCGTCTTGCCCCACACACCGATGAACCTCCACGAACCCGAAGCGTCCTGTCTTGGAGGCGTCGGCGCGGGATCCGCCATGAGCACCACTCTAGAGACAGGAGGCCCCTGCTTCTCGAAACCCTTACTTAACGTAACACTAGTTGTACTTCGGTGGCCTTTTGCTTTACAGGATTCTGGCTTGATAGTACTTCCCACCCGCGGCACGTGATTTCGAATTGGGAGGCTGAGAAAGGGAGCATCTGAAAGATTGCTGGACTAGACATCTGAGCCAAGCTGGCAGAAGAACCGATGCTTCCGGACACCTACGAACTTTATTGCGCTCTGAAACGGCTCGCAATCTGCCAGCCTCTGCTATGGATTCGGATGGGACCTATATGAATCCCTTGAAGCAGTCCCTGTTGCTCGAGTCCACAGCCCCTCATGCACCAAAGCTTCCAGGTCCGGGACGGGACTTCGGCATAGACATCCTGTTTTTGCTGGCTTTTTCTGTGTGAATAGGGCGCTCAACTGTGCTTAAGCAGATGCAAGCCGGAATGCTACCCACAGACTCACGCACAGGCATGCAACACAAACTCCCGAGCTCAAAAGAAGCCAAACCCCCCGCGCAAGCAGCGCCATGTGCAACAGCTACAAAAGAAACCTCACAGCCAGAGGGAACAATGACCCCGCGAACCCCGAAATTAGGCCCCAAGGGCCCCAAAACTCCTCAACCCTGGTGGGCCTGGATGGGCTTAGAATATGGCGCTGCAGGCGCGTTCGGCGGCAAGTGCTGTGGACGGCAGTATCGGTTGATGCGAATGCCTGCGCCCGCCACCCTAGATCTCTTGCATGCAGCAGCTGCCACCAATCCGAAAAAGCTTAAACATGCATTGCCCGTACACCCTGAACTAGCATTTTGAGTTGCTTGATGTGCAGCCAAAACTTTGCAGATGTGTTGAGGGATACGCTCTTCTAGATGTCTTGGGGGGTTTGGTGTGGTTGGACCCTATCGCCTAAACCTTTGTGCCCCAGACTCTTGAAGCTCGCCACACGAAACCAAAAGAGTGTGGGCTGATTCATCCCCATACCTAAATATTTCAATCTATTTCAGGGTTTGGGGTTTAGAGGTTTAGCGTTTAGGGTTTAGGGTATCGCATAGTCACAAGACGTCACGGCATCGAGCATGCCGCCTTCTTCGTTCTTGGCACGGCGCATCAGCCGGCGCACCTGTACATGTGAGCTGAGAGCTCTAGACCTAGACCGCCTCAACCCCAAGTCCCCAAGTGTGAGGTTTCGGGTCTTCCAGCACCTGCGTATCATGGCGACTCCGATGTTTTGCAGGCCCCAAGCTGCCAAGAACACGGATTTTCCCGTTGGAATCAGGCCCTCACCTCAAGACTTACAAGGGGTCCGCCAGCAATGAGCATGATTTTCCTTTGTGCAGTTTGACTTACAGGTTATGGTTGGAGTGGGCGAGCTTAACGCTTGGATCTTGAGCCTCCAGACTGACTTACCATAAGGTCCATAAAAGGCCACGCCCTCAAGCCTTAACCTTTCCCTTCTCCTGCCGCAGCCTTGTGCTCAGTGAAAACTGGCAGGCCAACACGCGGCCTGAGCCACAAGGACCCAACTCGAAACTCCGCGAGGTCAACGAAGGCGGTGTGGTCGAGGGTATGTGGGCTAGGGGTATCGGTATGACGCTTCGGGACATCTATTTTCTTTGCAGCGAAGAGTGGAACATCAAAAGTGGGCGGGATTTGGGCCACCAGTGCGAGCAGATGTCGCAAAAATCAGGAACACGCCAAAAGAATGTCAAAGAGCCATCCCACCCCTTTCCACTTCCCCTTCCCCTTCCCCCCCTCCCTCCCCCTCCCAACCCTAAACCCTAACCGCTGAACCCGAAACCCTACACCCTACACCCTTCCTAAACCCGAATCCCGAAACCCTAAACCCTTCCTAAACCCGAAACCCTAAACCCTTCCAGGCCCCTTGCTTGTAAAGCAGATGCCGGAGCTCCTTGCCCTTGCGATTGAGCACCTTGGACAAGGAGATCATCAACGGTTTTAAGGGCTCCGGTGTAGGGCATTTTTTGATAAATCGATGTCAACATTGACATTCAGGGCACCGCCCGAGGCTTGAAGGCATCCGATTTTCGGACAGCCTTCCTAACCCTCCAGGTGCACCCATGGCTTTCCTCCATCGTATTCTACAAGCCTCAATCACTGGAACTCCATCTCACCGGGCTTCCCTGCGAAGGTGATCTCCTTGAGGGACAAGTGCTTCTCATATAGGAGCGGCTCGATGTGCGGGCGCAGTCTGGATCGGAGGCATGTCTTCATTCACGGCTGGGTTTAGGGTTTAGGGTTTAGGCTTTAGGCTTTAGGGTCTAGGGTTTAGGGTTTAGGAGGATACGGACCAGCAAATGGGGCCTCCCGGCAGGTACATTTACCTTACATGGCTTTGTCTGGCAACCCAAAACCCTAAACCCTGAGCCCTTCGCCAATTCCTGAGGCTTCAAGTCTAAGATTGGTTTGGCAAGGCCTTGGCATCCCGTTAGATGATTGTGCCGGACTCCAGCAGAATCCCTATAGGAAGCAAGGCAGAACCCCAAACCCTGAACCCCAAACCCTTACCAAACTCTAAACCCTAAACCCTAAACCCTAAACCCTAAACCCTAAACCCTAAACCCTAAACCGCACAGGCAAGGGAGCCCTTGCCTCTCTGCCTCTTCGTTCAGCTCCCTACGCGCGTAGCCTGACAGCTGGCTTAAATAATCTCCAGTACCTAACCCCAATAAGCCCTCAAAGTGGCTTAACCCCGTCGCAGTTCTTTGCATACTCAGGCAGAGGTGACCTGTGTTTTGTGCAGCTTGAGCTTCAGGGTCGTATCAGCAGCTAGGTCGTCTGGGAACACTTGGAAACCCAAATATGGCCAAAGCTCTGGACATCAGCAAAGCTCGGCGACAGGCTGAAGCAAGGTACCACGAAGGAAGGTAAAAAGGTGACATCATCTAAGACTCCAGGTGTCTAAGGTCAGGAAGAAGGGCTGGTCAGCAAGCACGGTTCTACCAACATGCACGCCCACTTGAATGCTGCATGTCTTGCGTGTATGTATATATGTATTGTATGTATACATGTATGTGCATAGATCCTATAGATATTGTCAATACATTCATGGATATGTGATATTTACATGTGTGTGCGTGTGCATGAGCGTATCTGTTCCAGTGTGCTTTTGATTAGGTCACAACGCTTCCCTGTCATACAAGAAATAGGTACGTAAGCCTGATAATAAGCTGTGCAAACCTCCCACAGAGGTTGAAGCCCTCCTCGGCCGGCTCAACGGTCTGCTGAGTCCCCAGCACAAGGTGCCGCGACGACTGGGCGGTAAAAAGCTTGTATGCAGTTCATGGTGGACTACTGACTACTGATCTGGCGGATGCGTTCAATTTACGGCACCAGGCCAGGGCAGAAGAGTGAGACAAGGCCAGCCATAGGTTGCCTCGTGTTACGTCTCCTCCTACCAAGCCCAACCCCTGCTTGCCGGTCTGCCAGTCTGCCACGTTCTGCTACTTATGTCAAGAGTTCGAACAAGGCTTCCTGAACACTGACAATCACCGCCACTGTTGCGGCTACTGGGACGACACAGACGGAGTCGTTCGCTTCACGAAGGCTAACTAGAAGTTAAGGAACTGGATTTCAAGCTTGACGCTACCTTCTTCAAACGTTTGCCGACACATGTGGCTAGTGCTCAGCCTGCGCTTCTGTGCTCTTTTGAACCACTGAGCTCTTTCTTTCTCATGTCCGCAGTACACCAAGAAACTCGAACACACGGGAACAACGAGCTGCAGGGGAACCAGAGAAAACTCACAGACCCTAAGCCCTGTACCCTGAGGCTGAGGGCCCAGCTCACGCTTGGGCTTGTACGTGCGTTTTGGCCGAGGGTCAAGACCTGCATGGAAAGTCGCGGAAATGGAGGTCATAGAGCCCGAATTCACCCCCGACAGGGGATTCTAGCTGCTCCTACATCGACAAGCACCCGCGATGCCTGAATCTGGGAGCATCCTTGAGCATTCCATCCGGCTGATCACAACAGAACAGCCCGAGATAACACACAACAAGCCGCCATCTAGGTCCCGAAGTTATTTCGGACTGAAAAGGTACGTTTTTGGTTTAAGATGTAGTTTGGGTCCTAACCTAACCCTCCCAGAAGGTATTCAGGAACCTCGAACATGTGCTCGCCCTCAGCTGTGGGTATAAGGGGCCCTTACAGAGACTTTGTCCCGAAATGCGCGTTGCGAAGAAAGAAACGTCGTCGGGCTCCTAGGAATATGAGTTCGCATTGCTCCTTCGGATTTGGCTGATGCAGTTGAGGTCTTTCATGGCTCACCATAAGGAACCTTTTTGATATAATTTGCGCCTTGACTAGTCGGGGCTGTAGAAGACAATGCTACTCACTGTTGAGGCTCCTGCTTTTTAAAGTTGGGGTCTCCGAGCACTGCCCCCCCCCCCCCCTTTGCCGTGGCCCGAACTGGTCTCTTCTGATAGCTCGGAATCGCTGGGTGGCTCCTCAGTAAAGAGCTTACGGCTTAGGGTTCTGGAGCTGAACCAACAGAAGCATCTACAGGAGGGCAATAGGAGATCATTGTGAACCTTTGCGTTTGGGTTAGAAGTTACAGAGGCCGAGATGACTGGGAATCTTTCATGGGTTGAAGTGTGGTGCAAAGCACCCCTCAACCACAAAGAACAGCTAAACACAGCTACTCCCTAGCCTCGACTGGGCTACAAGGTTTACTCATGCTCAGGCCTTAGGGTGTTGCAAGGACGCTTTGCCTCATGCATCGACACCCCTGGTGCTGTCGATATGCTTCAACTTATGAATCTTAGGGGACCCCTTACACACTCCTTACATACCCTATACAGCCCAAGGGCCCTTACATCAGAACCCTTGAAAGAGGCAAAGGGATCGTAGCAAGGGACCATGAAGCTACTCTTTGGCATGAAAAGGTACCTCTCATGAATCTTAGGGTAGCTCCATTGTCCCCAAATATGGGGGGGCCCTACCCCTTATATACTCCTTTACATTCAGGAACCATGAAA